GAGGACATTTTGTTGTTTTAGTGCAAAATAAACATCATTTTTTTGCAGTTTCTTATTTCAGGTTTTTAAATCTGATTCAAACCTGTTAATGGCAATAATATATTTACATGACATCAAAATCACCTCCATCATAATTCCATGTCTGACACACGTCACAGTCTCGACATGTGACAAACACATTTAATGTTCTGAAGTCGTGTGAATCTGTTCCAGAAAATAAAAAGACATTAATAACGACAGAGAGCAATGTGAAGAAGTTGATGACATAACGTGTGCAACATTCATGTGACATCACATTCTGCAAAGATATAGTGACTCAGTGTGAGCTGCTGACCAGAAGAGAGTGAGTGACACACCGCCAGCAGTCCTGCTCCTCGTCTCAGTGCAGTGACATCACCGTGTACTCTGACGCTCTGTGACATCACCGTGTACTCTGACGCTCTGTGACATCACCATCAAACAGTTTCTGTTGTGAACTGGATTTTAAATAAAGTCAAGTGAGAGAATCAGTGTTTACTTTTACAAAGAACGCGATTAACACACATCTATTGTATTTACAGTCACTGCAACCAGTGATGAAGGAAGTACTCAGATTACTTCAGGAAAAGTACCACAGTGTAGAAATACCCAAGTAAAAGTATAAAACTATTTTCATCAAAATAAGCACTCTTGAATTTAATAAGTTCAGAATCAAGTCTGAATTAATATTTAAACATGATCAATAAAGTTTAATCTTAATCAATAATAACACATCAGAATTTTACTGTAATCAAAACAATGAAAAGTAAAAAAGTGATTCAGAGACCAGGACCAGGACCAGAACCAGGATCAGGATCAGGATCAGGACCAGACCTCCTGTCAAACACTGATTCTCTGTCTTTCTCTGGTTGTTTGGACACATTTTGTTTTGTCCTCCATTATAAAGACATGTTGGGTTCAGATATTTATTGTTGATGAGAGAAGCTCAGGACAGAGTCCGTACACACGTGTGTTTGTTTTCAGATTAGTCCTCCTCCTCCTCCTCCTCCTCCTCCTCCTCCTCCTCGGTGGAAGCTGCACAGAGACAGAGTGAGAGTCAGATTCATCATCAGCTGATCAGAGTGTCTGTGGAGAGGTCTCACTCTGGACAGAAAACCTGGACCATGTGTCGGTCAACAAAACACTGGGTTGTTGCTCTTATTCACTGTTTTGGATTTAAAACTCAATGTTTCTTTTCCATGATCATAATATTACTTTTTAATTATGAAGTGCAGAATGTGACACAGACT